ATCTAGATGTGTATAAGAGACAGCCACTATAGTGGCTTTCCATATGGTGCCACTTAGGTACCTACGGACCACTATAGTGGCTGTCTCTTATACACATCTAGATGTGTATAAGAGACAGCCACTATAGTGGCTTTCCATATGGTGCCACTTAGGTACCTACGGACCACTATAGTGGCTGTCTCTTATACACATCTAGATGTGTATAAGAGACAGCCACTATAGTGGCTTTCCATATGGTGCCACTTAGGTACCTACGGACCACTATAGTGGCTGTCTCTTATACACATCTAGATGTGTATAAGAGACAGCCACTATAGTGGCTTTCCATATGGTGCCACTTAGGTACCTACGGACCACTATAGTGGCTGTCTCTTATACACATCTAGATGTGTATAAGAGACAGCCACTATAGTGGCTTTCCATATGGTGCCACTTAGGTACCTACGGACCACTATAGTGGCTGTCTCTTATACACATCTAGATGTGTATAAGAGACAGCCACTATAGTGGCTTTCCATAAGATGCATTATATTGCATAATGTTATTTCCTCTCATACTGTAAATTAAAGAGCGCATGCTAAAACGTTATAAAATACCCTGGAATACCCTGTATTTATAAATACCCTTTGGAGAAAAATTTTTCGTTCGAAAAATTCATTCAATTCAAGCAGCTCGGGTTCTCCGCTGACGATGCAGCGCTCCGTTCAGCAGAAGTACCGCGGCGGAGAACCCGCCCGTAGCGAAAGGGTTAATGAACATCCTCGCGGATCCACTAAACGGACGCCTAAACGACGAACGACGGTTCCACGAGCTCGAAGGACGCTCAGTCCATATCGAAACATATCTCTCTGATTATTCCTCGCTGGAGTCGCCGCGACCGCGATAAAATAATCCGTGTTATTAAACATTTCGCAGCCGTAATGAATCTGGAACGTAATCCGGCACCCGCCGGCGAAGACGCGTCTATGGTTTCCTCGGAGATCGAGGTCTCGAGCGGACTGTTCCTCGAACACCAGCCGTGACGGCGAGATCGAGAGCCGCTTAAACGAGCGCTTAACGATTCCGGTCGGTTACAATCGAAGTGGGTCGGAGTTGATTGAAACTGGATCTCCTCGTCCCTGCCTTCTCTCTCTATCGCTCTCCTGTTGATTTTTAAATTTCCTCGTAACCGATACACAAGGCTGAGAACATGTGAAACAGCGTTCTCGGTCTTTCGCCGATAGATATAGGGCTAGGTCGCAGCTGCCGCGACGACGCATCCGAATTACCTGTAATACTTTCCGTGGCTCTCCCGGAGCATTGTCTCCCGAATCGCCCGCCGGAGGGAGAAATAGACACTGCGGAGACAGAGAAAGAGAGAGAAAGAGAGAGAGAGAAGAGGCGGTAGTTTTCCGAGTTCAGCAGACCTTGAACGATACAAAGAGCGATGGCCACGGGTTGGGAAAAGAGAGCCGTCCCGAAGGCTTGCGCGTGGAATAATCATCGAACGTAACCGTGGCCTTGGCTGAAGCTCGAGCCGCTTCCGGAAGAGGTTAATACCCGAAACGCATCGCTGACTCTCGGAGGGCTAGAGCCGGCGCACCGTGAATGGCTCCGAGAGTTTCTACGGTCTCGCGCGGAGGAACGAGGCCCCGCTCTGTTCGAACAATGCCTATTTATTTGCCAGATCGTTATCCCGCTTAAAGGTCCAAGACGATCTTTTATGGCCGACGCGTAACGATCGCGGGCCGAACGGCGGGGAAAGCCGAACGCGGAGGAGGCGATGACGAACGCGGCCCCCGGTCGTTCCCCGGGGAAACGGGAAACGGGAAACGGGAGACGGTAGACGAGGACGGGGCGGTCCCTTTCGTAATCGGTAACGCGTAATTGCCTAATTAGACGCGCGAGTGTATCCTTATTCCCGGGCAAATTAAACCGAGGAACGGAGAGCGCCGGGGCGATTCATTCGTAACGCCTGCGCCGCCCATAATTTGTTCTGCAATCTTACGGCGACGATCGTTGAGCAAACGCGACGGGTAACATTGTTACCGAGACCGCCGCCGAGATTCAGGATCTTATCGATTCCGCTGTTAAAATATAGCTCGGTACCGCGAGGCCCCGCAGCCTCTTTAGCGCTGAACCTCTACCGCGATGCTCGAAATAACCGGTCTTGATATTTTTCGTTTTAAAATTGTTGAAATTATGGCCACTTTCCTGCTGGAATTGATCGAACAGATTTCTTAGTTGGAGCGTGCATTATAATAAAAGTGGCGCGGAGTCTGGGCGAATTCGGCGTTATGGTTCTTATAAAGCAACGCGGCATCGGTCGTTTTTAGTGCTCGCCGGGTTTAGCGTTGAACAGCGGATCTTTACGAGAATCCGATCGGAAAACGTCGTAAAGTGCAAAATTTTAGCTTATTTGGTGCAGCGGATGCCAACGGTGAGGCCGCGAATTATTCAGAACATCTGGAAATTGAGCCAGTTTGGTGCACAACCGGTTCGAATAAGGACGTTGTTGCATTGGTTGAAATTGGAAAGGTGACGTCGCAGGATCCGACGAGTATTCATCTTCTCCCAATAGGAATGTCCTTGGACCAACGCGGTCTCCGAAGCTGGTGTTTGTCGTGGAGAGGAACGAGAGAGAATACGATAATATCGTCCCGTGATATAACAGCCTTTTCTTTTTTTGTCAAATATTTCTTAATCACTCGCAGTACTCTTAGACTAGAAATAACATATACAGGATCTCCCAAAAATGTCTCGCAATCCGAAAGTAGGGGATTCCTCAGGTCATTCGAAGCAACTTTTTCCTTAGCGAAAATGCAATCCGCGGCTTCGTTTACGAGTTATTAACGAAAAACAGTGACCAATCAGAGGCGAGATCATTTGGCGCGAGACGTCCGAGCCAATGAGCGGAACTGGACTCCGCGCACTCGTTGGCTGGGCCGCCGCGCGCCGCCCGAGCTCGCTTCTTATTGGTCAGTGTTTTTCGTCAATAACTCGTAAACGAAGCCTCGGGGAAATTTTTCGCAAAGGAAAAAGTTGCTTCTAATCACCTTAGGAACCTCCCATTTCCGGATTGCGAGACATTTTCGGGACATCCTGTATAAAAAAAAAAACAGATCGTCGACATGCATTGCTTATTGCCTAGATAGCTGAGTCGTCCTGGCTTGGAGGAACGAACAGCCAGTGCACTATGTCTACGTATCTAAAAAAAAAATAGTTATATTGTTATATACATCCTTGGTCTATCGCTTATATTCTAAAGGAGCAATCGGACTTTGTACCGAATAATGGGCAGGTAAATGGTAAAAAATAAGTCAATAAAACACCGCTGTATAAGATAGAACCGCCTGTCGGAGCCTAGAACGAGGCGCGAGCGTGTCGCGTATATCGTCAGGCAGGATTCCTTGGGATCGATCGGCGAACAGCTGGTACAGGATTAACTTCGTTTTCACCGGAGGAATTTCGTCGAGGTTTCCTCGGTTGGTGTTGAACGCGGTCCGCCGCCTCGCCGACGGTTTTCCGTCGCTGGAGCCTCGACACCGAGCGCGTCCAAGCGTCGTCCAAGGTTGAACGTCCGGAGGTTCGAGCGGAAGTGGAACCGGAGGCGACAAGGACAACACGCGACTCCTCGGTCCCCGATGTTTGTACCGTCCACGGTCAAACCATAGCCGCGTTTGTCGGTCAATTAGAGTCCAGAACGAGTACCGGTAACATAGAGGCGAACGGTTGTCGGTGAACGTCCGCAGGGGGTCGTCGACCCGAGCCGGAGCCGAGCTCGGAGCCGAGTCGGAGCCGAAGCAAAGCCGAGGCAGAGCCACGAGGCCTTAGACGCCGGCTTTAACGCCGCTTTTACCGCAACCGCCTTAACTCGGACGTTCGCTCCGTTCTACTCTGTCGTTCTTCTTCTCTCTTTTCCTCTTCTCCACCCTGTACTCCTTCCTCTCCGATGCTCGCTGTTTCGCGACCTTGATCCGAAAGTTTTAAGCCTGTGCACCAGGTCCCGCGATTCTCCCTCCCCGTTATCCCCGCGTCGCCGTGGCTCCCGCTCCACGGTAACAGGAGAACCGTCGTAATCAGGCCTCGAAGCATCGAGATTACGTTACCGCGAATTCGAACGATCAACGACTCGTCTGCTTTCCGGGTCCTTAGGTGCCTTAATCTCTGCCCGAGCATTGGAGTTCTGCCCAGAGTTCCTCGGTAAACGCTCGAGAGAGCATTGTCGAATAAATTAAGACGACGGAGACGAGCTAACGTGGTTCGTAATGGCTCTCTCTCTCTCTCTCTCTTGCTCTCTCTCGCTTGCTCCACGCTCCTCCCCCACGACACCCCTCGCGGGTTCCTCTAGCCGAAAATTTGCATGCGATATCGTGTGACTACCAGCTGTTCGCCCGAGCCCTACAGTCCTGTAGATTCGCCTGATAACGGCTCTGGAATCCGGAGATCGATTCTCTGACCCCGGGACACGCTGGTCCCCCCTCCCCCCATTACGTTTCTTCGATCCGAGAAGCGGAAAATTAGAGAGCCGACCGTGTGCAAACTGCGCCACGGATTCCGCGATGTTCGTTGCTTTCCACGCGAGAAACGGGTAATCGAACGTGTCTACAAGGCTATTTATTTATTTGATCCGCTACGATCTGTCTCAACACTTCACGCTGGAACAGCGACAAGATGTAATCCGTTGTTCAAAAGTTCATAAATTGTGAACGACGATTCGTAGATAGCATATGCTAATTCCATTATACAATTATGTTTTACAAACGAAATTTTGATAAATTGTCAAATCCTATTTAACTAGACGAAAAAGAGCGTCGCCCACATTTACGGGTGGCGCGACGCCCGTAACCCGGCAGCATAAACGTCACCCCAGATGCGGACGACGTGGCGACGAACGTGTTAAAAATTCTGTCCCATTACGGGAGCGTGTTCGGGCCGCGGGCGTCATTAAAAGCGAACGCGTTCCATTATTCGGTAGCGAAAAGACCAGCAAGCGATAACACGGCCGAATTCTGTTTCAGCAATTGTTCCGAAGCCAGCCGCAAGGTGCGACGCCGCAGCAGCTCCAGCTGCTGCAGCAGCAACAACAACAGCAGCAGCAACAGTATCTGGCCGCGTCCCAGGCGCAGCAGCAGCAGCAACAACAGCAACAGCAGAACTTCCCCACCGCGCCGTACACCGTGATCAGCGGCCAAGAGCCGTACGTGGGTGCGCTGATCGCCGGAGCACCTCCGCCGGTGGTGCCACAGTATTATGGGGTCGCCCCGTGGGTCTACCCCGCAGGGTTGCTGCCGCAAGCACCCCCGCAGGCGGCCGCGCCACCGCCGCCCAGGAGGCCGATGACACCGTCCTCGGCCGCAGCCGCGGCGGCTGCCGCCCAAGACACCGCAAATAATTTGGCGCAGACTGTAAGCGGCTAATTAGACTGTTTCTCTCTATCGTTTCTCGGCCGTCCGGCCCGCGCGCACGTGTTTAGAAATAAATCCTATTGTCGGGGCGGCTCTCCGCCGGCTCTAGCCGCGCCGATACACCTCTCCGCCTCGCTTTTTCGCGCCGTTCTCGAAGGTCCTTGGCCAGCGATTAAATATAAACCGCGAGCAATTTAACGGTCCGTTAATGTCACCGAGCTGCTTCTTGTGGGCATGCTAACCTTCGATACCGACTCGAACTTCGGATACAACCGAACGCTGAAAGAAGCGCTCGTTTCGTTCTACCAGGCAGCTTACCTCCTCTTGTTGTTTCTTCGTGTCAGAAATCATTCTCGAAATGAACGCTCGCAACGGCGGTCTACTTCGACGGAAATCTAATTTAGCGTAGTTAGGATTATTTATAATTTTATTTGTCAATTTTTTTTGGACGTAATGTTCGAGGCGCGTCTTCTGGGCACGTTAATTCTTCGTTCATAAATCTTATTGAAACGTGTAGAAAATCGAAATTAATTGTCCGTAACTAGACGCTGAAATAACCTCTGTCCAAATGGACCCGGGTCTCGTCGTTCGACTGTTAAAAATACGTGTTCCTTGACCCGGTCAGATCCTTCGGAATGTCTATCCCTTGTTCTTTAACGCACTGTCGTCTTTAACACGCTTTTACACATTTCGTTATGTATTTGAAAGAAATCCCATCGAAATCCTAAACATTCTTGTTATATACCTGTCGTCGAAATTTTATTGTTACTTTCTAAAATATTAAATGTTTCTCGAAACGTGGATTTTTTCAAACTCCGCCGATTTTCTACCGCTGGACGCGCAAATAAAGTTCGATACCTGTGACCCGCAGATAGTGCGTTAAGATAGCTCGGCTCGCACCCCCATCCTTAGCCCTTTGAGGACGAATGTTGACATATTCAAAACATCAAAATTATGTAACTTATTCCAGAAGGTCTAAACATATAATTTAATAATGTGCATAATAAAAGCTCACAATATATTGTTCCCCTTTCGTATCATTAAAATCTTCGGTACACAATCTAGTTCTGTGAAGGAAATATTCTTATTATTTTAAGGATGCTCGTCCACAAAGGATTGAAGATAATCCTGACTTTCTAAACACGTGTCAACGAATACACCCCATCGGCACAACTTCGAGTTGCCGGCCATCGTCTGGGGTCTGTTCGTTGACGAAGCTACGCCTTGAACAAATTAACACGCTTACGGCGACAGAAACAAGCGACTTAGATACTGAACATTGTCGGCTGTTGCAGGTCCAGGGCCAGTACCAGGTGATACCGGCGTTCTACGATCAGAACGGGTCCATCGTGATGGGCGGCGTTCGCGGACTCAGCTCGGCAGCCACCCCCATGAGGCTGGTGAGCCCTGCGCCGGTTCTGGTGAACAGGGCCCCGTCGCAACCACCACCGGGACCACCGGCCCCCCCACCGCCGAGTCTATATTCCCAACCGACACCAACGTCCCACAGCAACGCGACACCCGGAGAATGTTTGGGTAAGATGTTCGATCACCGGGCCGGTCCTCGACTCTTGAACAGGATCCAGGCGTTGTAGATATATACCTGTTGTTCTGTCCCCGGCTTGTCTCTCCCCGCGAGCCCGCCCAGAGGGACCGGGGCGAGGCGGCGAGAATCCGAGGGCGTGCATCGGCGTCAACCTGCTAACTGGTCCGCGAAGGAATCGTTTACCGATTTTTCCGTAAAGCACTGTCGTCGCGTGACAAATGCCTAAGCGCTCGCGAAACCTAGTATTTTCGGAGACCGCCGGCCGAGGCTGTTGAGTTCGCGGGCGCTTAAGTTAGCTGTCTTAACGAGCATACCTCTATTTCCGTCAATTCACGGAATGATTTCACGTTTTCGGCCGGCGTGCCGTGTATATTTAGCCGTAAAGACAGGCGAAATCAATCCGTCCTGCGCGGTCCGGCGAACGGTGCACCGGTGTGTGTGTGTTTTCTCCCTCCCTTGTTAATAGAACTTTACGGCGCGGCGAAGTCCAGGAATAATTTGTCGGATCAACGGGAAAACTGTGTGTTTAACGCGTTCTCGCCCGGTTAGCAGGCTGATCGAGGTCCAATCCGTTCCCGTATACATATTATGTACATACATGCATGGCGCACTGTGATATCGAAGACGGTGCATCGAGGAGATCCGAGGATGATGATACACGATTAACGTTGCCAGTTACATTTTTTGTTCCTGTTGTCTGTACATACGTGTATACACGCCACGTAATTAACCTTTTGACTAAACAAATGCAAGGAGACGAGAGAGAGAGAGAGAGAGAGAGAGAGAGAGAAAGGGAAGGAAAAAGTGACGTAAAAAAATAATGAGATCGTGGCCAGTATCGATGTCGATATATCCAAGGTGTGTGCGAGTTCGTGTGTATGTGCGTGTGTTACGGAACCGCCTTCTAGGCTTAATAGACGGTGTGAGGTCGGTAAGGCACGGCAGATTAATTGATAACTAAGAGCGTGTGTGGGTTGCGGGGTTTCGGTGCAGGTCTCGCAGCGTGCAGTGCAGCAGCGGTGGTTGCACAAGCCCAAGCGGTCGCGGTACAACAGGCGCAGCAGCAGGGATCAGGACTGGCCGCTGGATTAGCGGCCCTGGGATACGGCGGCTCCCCTCTGGGGGCACTAGGCTCTCCAGCTCAGCTACAGAGCACAGGTACTGAGACTAAGCCAACCCTGGCTAAACGCGAAAGCGCGATCATCGTCCGGTTTTGCAGGCGTTCGACGACCACCTCGAACTCTCTTCTGTACATAACCCGCGCTGATACACGTGTTGTTTGCATGCCTCTCTTGCGAGATCGTTTGTCTTTTGTCGTTCTATATCGCCACGTTCGGATCGTCCCTCCACCCCCTGTTACGTCCTCTCCTCCACCCGTGCGAGTCGTCTTTCCAAATTGTCTGTAAAGAAACGTGTGTAGTTCTCTCTTTCCGAACGTCAGCCATCCTTGTAAAGTACACCAGTAACGTAATCTTCCGATATACTCTCCGATTACGCGAGGGCTCGGAAAACGTGGAGGCGTCGAGAACGTCGAAGTCTCTGAGGCAGACGTGGTCTCCCAAATCGGAACCGGGAAACGGGAACCGGATCAAAGAGAGAGAGAGAGAGAGAGAGAGAGAGAGAGAGAGAGAGAGAGAGAGAGAGAGAGAGAGAGGGCATCGATTCGGCCAAAGTCTCCAGAGGGTTCGCTTTTGTTCGCAGGTCTGGGTCTCGGCGCTTCTTCAACCGCGCGAAGAGACTCCTTCGATAGGAACACCTCCGCCTTCAGCCCCAGCTTGGAGTATTCCCGTACAAAATGGCCGCAGAGTTACGGCGCGCTAGGTAACGCTCGTTATTTGATTTTTCACAGTAGAGGAAACACAACGTCTATGAAGCGCGGCTGCTTCATCACCGATTTCCATTTTCCGCTCGACACTGGAACGTTTATCCTGTTTCCAGGTACGGTAACGGCGTCCCCAAGCCCATTAGGATTATCCTTAACACCGCCACCAACTTTGGGAGGATCTTTGGGCGGACTGGTCGGCGGAGCTAGCCGGGTGTCCGCCGCTCCCGGGGCCGAGGCGAAGTTCCGTGCCAGCGCAGTCCCAGCTTTAACGGCTAATGGAGTTTTCGGCTCCAGCAGCTCCCTTTTCCCTAACTTGGTAGGCAAACCCGGCCGCGGAGGCACCACCAGCATCGGGGACAAAAACGCTGGAGGACGATCACGTTTGCTCGAAGACTTCAGGAATAACCGGTACGGTTCTCTCTAGCCGCGCGCCACCTCCGACGACAGTGTCGCGTTGCACCGAGCTTATCAATGTCCACTTTCGCGCTTCAGGTTCCCGAGCCTCCAGCTACGCGACCTGGCCAATCACATAGTCGAGTTCAGTCAAGATCAGCACGGCTCCCGTTTCATTCAGCAGAAATTGGAGCGGGCCTCGGCCAGCGAAAAGCAGCTCGTGTTCCAAGAAATCCTTACCTCCGCTTATTCACTGATGACAGACGTTTTTGGGAATTATGTTATTCAGAAATTCTTCGAGTTCGGCACGGCGGAACAGAAATCCACCCTCGCTCAAAAGGTAAGTTCGCCAAGCTCGCGTTCGTTCGTCCCGTCGCGGCATACCTAACGATGATTATATTTGCGTGTCAACTGATTGGATACAGTGATCGAGTATCTTCCGATATGACCTGTCGAGTCCGAGCTGTTTTTCGTCCAGCTGTAAAAACTTCGGCTACATCAGCTTTTTCGTTGCGTTTAGGTTCGAGGACACGTGCTGCCCTTGGCACTGCAGATGTACGGCTGCAGGGTGATTCAGAAGGCTCTGGAATCGATCGGGCCCGAACAGCAGCAGGAGATAGTCCGGGAGCTCGATGGTCACGTTTTGAAGTGCGTGAAAGATCAAAATGGGAATCATGTGGTGCAGAAATGTATTGAGTGCGTCGAGCCTCGAGCTCTGCAGTTCGTGATCGGAGCGTTCGCCGGTCAGGTCTACTCGTTGAGCACTCATCCGTACGGGTGCAGAGTCATCCAACGTATACTAGAGCATTGCACTCCTGAACAAACTCAGGGCATCCTTCAAGAACTGCACGCTGCCACTGATCAGCTCATTCAAGATCAGTATGGTAATTACGTTATCCAGCATGTACTCGGTAAGTGGAACTTTCGTTGCTAGGACTTGAGCACCTTAAATATCTCGGTTACTTTAAACCATGAAACAATAAGAAAGGTATTCGAGTTGCTCAAGTTTTGACGGGACAGGCTTTGCATGTAAGAAAGTTAACTAATCAACCTCGTCTGATTCGAAGAACATGGAAAACCAGAGGATAAGGCGCAGTTGATCAGCAGCGTAAGGGGTAAAGTACTTACTCTGTCGCAACACAAATTCGCGAGCAACGTTGTTGAAAAGTGCGTGACTCACGCCACGAGACAGGAGCGTTGCGTGCTGATCGAAGAAGTGTGCGGCTTCAACGACAAGTAAGTTGAGGTTTATAAATAAACGACGGCGGATGCTTCGTTCGCTTTCGTCTCCTCCAAATTAACATGAACTGACATTTTCACACGAAGATGTCCGCGCGGTCCAGTTGTTATGCAAAGCACGAAAAGCCCGATAACTAATTTCTGCGATCCGTTTCGAAACAGCGCATTGAACGTAATGATGAAGGACCAGTACGCCAACTACGTGGTGCAGAAGATGATCGACGTGGCGGAGCCAGCGCAGCGCAAGGTGCTGATGCACAAGATCCGTCCGCATCTAGGCAGCTTGCGCAAATACACCTACGGGAAGCACATAATCGTGAAATTGGAGAAGTTCTTCATGAAGACGGCGTCCGCGATGGGTGTTGCGACACCCGCCGGTGCTTCAAGTGGCGGTGGTGATCTGGGTCCCATCGGACCGCCTGCTTCTGCTGCTGGCCCAGTCTCGACGCCAGCTCAGCAGCCAACGCAGGTCCTGTAAAAGCGTACGGTCTCTGAAAGCAACAACCGCTCGGGGTATCGTCGTACGTCTTAGGATCACGCACGTACCGAGAGAGACCTACGTAAATATTTATTGCAACGTATCTTATATCGCCATTTTATTTATAATGGACGAGGAAAACCGAGGACAAGAGGTTCTCCGTAGTGGTTGCGCCGCTCTCGTCCCCATTCGCCCCTCTCTCCCGGAACTTGTAAATCCCGACCGGAAACTGCGACGACGATAATGGAAAAAAGGAAGAATTACCGACACGATTTTTCTTATTTTTGCAAACCAAAAGAATAGTACGTGAAACCAGAGAAACACTTAAACAGAAAGAGAGAAGGAAAGAATGAGAGAGACACGCGATATTTGTACAGTGTTTAAACAAGAGAGGAGGGCGAAACGGCGACTATAGCGGCGCGACGTCAACACACGGATACTTGAAGGAGAGTCGTGTACGCGTATTCCGAAGAATGATCAATTTTTGTAGAATAACGTTAGAGGTGCAGTGCATTTTTTCTATTAGTAATCTAACGTGCTGCCGAGTTATTATATTCGTAGCGAGTCGCGGGCCGCGCCGAGGAGAAGCGCGCGTGCCCCGACGGTTTGCACCGAGAAAACTAACGTGTATCCTTGAGAACCGAGTTTCTTCGAGACGGCTGGACAAGCACCGAGAGCTTGGAATCGCGAACAAGAAACTGCAGTGCTGAGATGACTGAATGTCTTGTCATCGCTCGTTTTTTAATCGATCAGTTTCACACACGTAAACTTCGCAAAAGGAAAAGACGATAAAACAATTAAACACACAGCACGAACAAAAAAACACGTTCCGACGAATTTTTTTTTATTAGGAACAGGAGTTGAAATACTACTTTTTAATTATCCCACCCCCACCCCCCTCGTTTATTGCGTTGGAATCGTTCTTCGACTAACACGTCAAGTTTAATTATCGATCCTTATTGAAAACTCAGCACTCTGTCGAGGGAGCGTACAGAGCTCTGACCTCTGGCAAACAATTTAACCGACAACATGCAAAGTTAAGCAAGCAAGCAAAAGCAAGCAGGCAAACAAAAAAAATATAACGTAGAAAAACCGCGAAAAAGAGTAAAGAGAATAGCAAGACGAGAAGAGCGTGCGCGAGAGACCGCGCGCGAACTCTCGGTTTGAACGGCAAAAGGTTCGAAGAAGAGGTGGAAAAAATTGTGTTTAGACAGCTAGGATAGATCTTAGAGCTGCATGCATTTATATCGAGTTGTAACGTAAGTGCGATGGCCGTAAAATATACGCATGCACGAGACGTCTTGGTCGCTAGCGTGTGTACCGGTAAAACCGTACCGCCTTTGCACGCTGAAAGTAGTATTATCCTCGAGTGTGTCCGGTACACGCGTCGTCCGACCAACGAATCGGTATCGGTTCAGATTCGATAGATGGTTAGGAGCTACAGATACGTTGATTAAAATCTAGCATAGCGTTTGACATGGGAATGAAGCTGAGTAACTCAGACCTGACCGCTGATCTGCCCCCCTTTAAACCCCCTAATCCCCCTTTGATTGCTTCAGATTGTTCGTGAAATAAAAACGAGAAAATGCGAAAGAAAAGATATATACGTATATAGATGATATAGGACGCAACAGAAACGGAAAGCAAAAAGATAACCGATTTCGTTATTCTCGATTTAGAAAGGAACACTTTGGAAAAAGAAACGGATCAGTATAGAACCTAAATAAATAATACGTGTTGTTTCTTCTCGATGATAGACTCTAGCAGAAAGGACGGAGTTAAAGAAAGGATTAGGAAAGGAAAGAAAAGGAAATGATAGGAAATGACAGTTGACAAAATAATAATAATAATAATGAGGAGAGACATCAAGTCGTCAGCACGGTTCTCCTTTGTTCGTTTTACGTTTGTCGCCTTTGAGCGCGGAGCATTTTTTTCTACTCTCTTAAAACGATCCTTTTTACATCCTCCACACCCCCTCTTCCTTCTCCCATCTCGTGTCTTGTGTCCCACTTCATCCCCGCCCCCACCCCCCTTGCATCCCTGTCACTGTATCCTGTATCCTGCATCCTATAATCCCGTACCCCTCGGAAAATCCCCTTCCTCCGTTCCCCAATGATCCTCGAATTTTGTAAATTGTGATATAAATAAATAACAAATGTGTATAGGTACGACGTGACAAACCCTATCGTGAGGAACCGTAAATTCAATGAATAATTTTATTTTTCACGGGAATTCTCTCCTTTTTAACGGACTTTGTGAATATCGTGTATTATAATAATTACTAATTATATTAAATTTAAATATGATTTACGTTCTAATGCTGCTGACCCTCGATCAACATACGTTATACATTTCCCTTTCACCTGCCGCAATTAGAAATGGTCTGGACCAACCCCCCATCGATCCCGCCCACCCTGACACACCATAATCCCCTCTATTCAGTCCCCCACCCTTCTCATGCAACACACATCGTTCCAGTTGTAAGATATAGACATTTTTGACAAAGGAGACGCTCTAGAGGAAAGAAATCGTTTATCATTCGGATTCATTCGATTCACCGACACTCCCCCTGCACACCCCGCGACCCCCGTCCTCCCCGAATTTTTAAATGAAAAATCAAGTAAACCGCAGCCGCCGCAACCCGCGGTGATCATTGAACGTAACCGAGACACATTGTACATTGTATAAAAACGATATAAACGCGTTCTCGAGAGGAAAAAAGCAAAGGAAACAAACGCACGAGAAAAAGCGTCAGGAAGAAATTCATGTTCCCAGCGCGTGTGTATCTATATTTCGTTTCGCGCAGCATCGCCCCCCCCCCCTCCATACGCGCAATCATACACATATGTATACACACACATACACACGGGACACACTTGCGCACACTCGTTTCAGAAAACGTTCAGAACACGTTGGAGACGCATGTGTACACACCGAAGCATTTCGATTTGTATATTTCACACCGATCACACCCATCAAGACGGTTGGAAAGAGCGCCTCTCAGCTGTTTTCAATAGTATCCGACTGCGAACCAGAGTTTTCCCCATACGTTTTCATGGTTTTCCTCGATCTGAAACTTCGTTGATCACTTTTGAAATCTTTCTCTTATTTTACACGCGCGATTATTTTTGATCGTAGCCAGCCAGAACATTCGATCGATCCGGTCGACGACGCTGGGACCATAAACTTCCAGCCAGTCGCTGATCTTGCAACCATTTCGATTTTTATGAAACCAATTGCATCCACGGCTTTGAAGAATTTCGTAATGTTTGGCGTACCATAAAATTGCACGCGGTTTCAAAGATCTTCTCGGCGATTTATCGAGGTCCACCGAGCGATTTTAGTAATTTTTGGTGGGAGGGATAGTACATTTCTGCAAGTTTTATCGGCTCAGATAGCGACCCCCTTCTCCAGGAGAGAAAACACCGAGGCTACGGGTAGAATGATCGCATCGCGGACAAGTATTCTTTCTCGAGTTTCCGAGCGCAGCTTCGAGGCACACACCACCGGAAACATTCATCCAAATCGCTTCACGAGTATCATACGTGTGTATATATAATTATTCTTCGATCGAGGGTGCGGTGTCCACCTCGACGACTGTACAAAAGCAACGGGAGATCTCGCCAGATTTTTTAAATTGAACGTTCGTACGCGATAAACAACCCCCTTTCGGCACGCCGCGTGCCCCCCCGCGATCCCCGCGACCCGACTGTCCCCGTTTTTCTATACAGAAAAAGTTGCTTCGAGATCACAAACTCGCGATCGTCGTCGTTGCCGTACGTCGTCGGCGTCGGCGTCGGCGACGATCGAGAACTTGTGATCTACAAGCTGTGTACAATGTATAATTGATTTCGACGAGGAACGCGTGTGGTAGGTGTTAAATAATGTAGAATTCTAAAAGGAGGCCGGGAATAGAAGCCGAGAACGACGAAAAAGGAAACTGAGGAACCGTGAAGTGGAAAGAAAGCAAAAGGGGACGTATAACCGGCAAACTAAACTCGAGGGCCCGTCGCGATTTTGTACAAAAATAAACGAGTTGAAAACTACGTAAAGACGACAAGGGAGGAGGGAGACGTGTGTGCGTAGAACGGTGTTTCAAAGTGAAAAAGGAAAGAAGAGGAAGAAACGTAGCTGCTTTCTTTGTAAGATATTGTAAATAACGATTTATTAACGAAATTGACAAATTCTTAGGTACCCTTTCTCTCTTTCTCTTTCTTCTTCGCGCGGAGATTACTTACTGCGGCAGGTTCGACGCGATTCACGGACAAAACGGGCACAAGCCGAGAAGCGGAGGGATTATCAAACGATCGGATCGTATCTTTCTTTCGAGTTCGTTTCTCTTTTTTCTTTTTTGCGTTGCTCGATCCACTCCGTCGTTCGAATCGTCGTTCGGATCGATTCTGTAGCCGGTGCTCGTGGAGAAGGAGAAATTAGAAACACGAATTTCTCGTGGTTGAACCACATGTCGATCCTTTCGGAAATCGCTGAGAGGAGGCTGCTCGTTTTTGGAGCCGCGTAAATGATAAAAAAAAACGAAAACAGAAAATCCCCCCGGAAAGTATGAAAACCATATAGTACATGTATTTACGAATCACGGAAAACACGCTCAACTCTCGATTGTATACAGACAGAGACATTCCAACCGCCATCATTTTTTTTTCTTTGACACCCTCGGTCGACAGGATATTAGCCTTTTTGGTCGTTCGCACGGGACGACGTTAAATGCGTTACTAATATTTAAAGATAAGGAATGACGATAGTTCCTTCGTCCGTTGTAAATCGCGCTCTCATCATTTGTAAATTAAAAAGTACGTCGGGAAACGAACGTCTCTCATTTTTTGTAATAGAAGCATCGATGTTAATAATTCATCATCCCCCCGCCCCCCTGTCGAAGTAGGAAAATCCCGCAGAACAACGGAAGAATAAACAGAATTAAATGAATACCGAAAGTCATAGCAGAAGCGAAACTCGAACGCAAAATCTCATGTCTTATCAGCTAAGATTATTTGAGTACTACTATACTTTTTATTATTATTATTATTAAATATTAATTATTATTATTATTATTACTATTATTATTATTATTACGATTAATACGATAATTATAATAATTATTATTAATTGCTATAATTATTATTACCTATATTGTTTGATTAACGACCTTCCCTTCATTGATTATTAATTGCTATTTACTAATGATTGCTAGATACACACTTCTATATAAATATGAATATAAATATATACATATATATATATACATATATATATAAAGACATGCGTAAGGCAGGCACACATATATAACGCTTTATAAATATGATACATATAAATACGAGGTTCGCACGCAAATACTCACACCTACACACACCTCCCAAACATATTTTCATTGTACGTTTCGGCCAACCCCCATTTCCCTCTTCCCCACACCGTTTTCGTTCCTTCTCGTGAAAGAAAAGCGACAAAGCGATAAAAGAGACAACCTTTAGTTCGCGAAACCTCCTTCTTTTTTTTCGTTTTTTAGAAACCAAACGTTAGCGAATAGGTTGACCACCTAATTGCTGTCGTGTTATATATATATACATATATATATATATATATATATATACATATACATATATATCTACTTAAGAAAATTCTGAGAAACGAGAGGAAGCAAACAAAAGAAAACGAAAAAACAACAAATTCTTGAAATCGACTTTTTGATTATAAATAGTGTAAATTTTTTATATAGCGCGCGAGAAAGGAAAATATTATTGGTTGCACGACTTCAACGAGGTACCCGTGCACCGTGTATAAAAACAAAAAAATAACACACACGCGCGCGCCCATGCACACACCAATGCGTACGCATAGCAGAGGAACTGATGATACACGCAGGACACACGTGCACACAAGACACATGAAAAATAAGACGAGAAAGATGGGAGTACACACACAAAAGACGATCTTTTGATCCTTTTCTTCAACAATCGGTCGACACAAACTACTTAGACGAGAAAAAAGAAAAGAATCGTACACGCGTAGATATCTTAGGTCACTTCGTTTCAGTGATTTCGTTCGCTGTTGCATTACGGATCTGGCGACCTCCGATCCGCGTCTCTATGCGAGGAGAAGAGAACGGAAAATAATCGAGAACAGATCATTCGTCGTCCAGCGAGTGAATCGTTTTTGCGTATTATAAATCCCCCTGTTGCCTGGAGCGTGTTGTACTCTTTGTAAAATATGTAAAAGTGTGCGAGACATTCACAGTATTTCCTGTACACACGGTTTGGTATATACGATTTCTTTTTGATTGTTTTTTTGTTTTTGTTTTTTTTGTAAATTCCCGTCTGCGAGATCGTATGCTTCGTCGCCGAGCTCGAACGAAATTGTAATCGCTGGACAAAAATTGGATCCGAGTCGCGGGATTTGTAACGCAATTCGTAATGTGCGCGTGCACTAATGCGGCGAGATCCCTCGAGCGAAATTTTTAAATAAAGAAAAAGAGAAATGAATGAAAGTAACAAAACCGAAGATAAACCTGGATCGATGGATCTTGCGGGCGTCGTGCAGATGATCGAGGGACACGCCGCCGTGTCGTACCGACTTCTCTCTGTACATAGAACGAATCGTTCGAGAACAAATTCAACGTTTCAACTTCGCTTTTCTTTCGTCGTCGAAACCACTGTACTGTAACTCATCCTCGATCACGGTGCCTCCTTCTTCCCCCCCTTCCCACCCACCCATCCACCTACCCGCCCACCCGACACTCACACGTAATCACACATCGGGGTGTGATCACCGCGGGTGATCACACCACCCCGTAAAATTCCAGCAACCAATCGATCGAAATCGATCGTCTCATTCAAGCAAGCAAAGATCAAAATTTCTGCTTTCTCGATGAACAGAACACCTAGGCGCTTGATTCGGCGTTAAATACACCGGCAAAAAATATGGAAAATGAGAAGCGACACATTGTGCAAATTTTAAATGCGACAGCGTTCCCACACGTTGCGTTACGTATATAATATCCCTTTTGCGCTCCTTTTTCAACCTTCGATGTTTGTACTTTAGATACGATCGTCATCTCTCTAACGCTCTTTCTCTTTCGTCCCCTTTCACCCGCGTCCGACTGGGCTTCGTCACGCGGGTTTCAAAGATTCCGAGAGAACAAAGGAACGAACGGACAGACAACCACACGGAGGAAACGGAGGCGGGGGAAATGGTTTCGAAAGAGAAAAACAATTAAGCAACCCTATAAATAATTGATTATACATATATATACATATAAAAATATATATATATATCTGTATATGTATACCTAAAAGAAAAAAAAACACTTTGAAACCTATCGGTATATGATATATATGTAATAAGTACTATTTAAATATTGTAACAATTGTATATGATTTTAATACTACATGCTAATTGTATTATATATATATGAAGGATCTGCGACCTCCCACTTGTAGCACACACTCGATCGTACCGCACGCAAACATTCAGGCATGACACATAGACACATGCACACATACACACGTACTCACTCACACGCAAAAAACACACGGAGATGAGAGAGACAGACACGCAGTGACATCATTTAACACGAGAGATCGCCGTGTTCTGAAATGCACGGTGTAAAGAAAAAAAAAATACGAACGACACTGGTGTAAAGACACATGCGAGACGCACCTTGCAGCCACGCGAACGCTACACAGAGACGAACAATTATCTCCTCCCCCCGAACCGCACGTTTTCATCTTCACCATCGTTTTCTTCACCGGTTTTCAACTGCCATGGCGCTATATGTATTTGTGTGTACGAGCAGCAATTTAGTCGAACGACGACGGACAAGCATAAGAGAAAAACGGACTCGCGGCCTCCTCTCTCTCTCCCTTGGCTCGCGAGGGCCTAGAAAAGGGGACCGGGGGTTGTCGAGCAAGGAAAAGTAGAGTTAACATCCACGGGAATGGTGCGCCCTGATATTAAGACTGATGTACAGTTGCGCGCTATTCTCATCGCGAGGTATCATCTCGTCATTTTTCTCCACCCCCACGCGTCACACGTACACCCGCGTTTCACGATCCACACGGACACGCTTACACAAAGAGACACGGGGAGGACACGCATACAGAAGTTACAAGGAACACAGGACACACCACAAGTCAAGAGACACGCGAAGCTCGACATTTGAACCCCTTCCCGCACATCGCCACAGCCACGTTACACACACCACCCACGGACTCGCAGGGCTAATTGAACATATATATATACACACATCGTATATATTTGTCAGATATATGTCATATATGTATGCGTACACACTCGTTCGTCACGCCGCACTGGCTCTTACCACCCTCGCACGCTCGTCGGATGATCTATACACGTGTTTGATATACATATTATAAATATGGATCGGGATACGCGATCCGCCTCGCGGAAGATTTTTCTCGTTTTATCGGAGGAGAACGATAAAAGAATGGAAAAGGCGTCGCGTCGGGTAAATCGTAAGTTGTAATATATATGTAAGAGTGTAATAAGGTGTAATGTAAATTGTTTGACGTTGCGTTGTACTCGATACCGTTCGGAGGAGAGGCGTGAAATTCTTGTGATAAGTTTTAAGCGATTTTTCTCGTTGCTTTGATTCTTCTCTCTTCTCTATACATTTTATGTTCTTTCTTTTTTTTTTTACCTTCAATTTCTTTTCCTTTTTTTTACGTTCTCGTGAGTGTTCTCCATTTTTAATTTGACCCATATTTTTTTTGTAGAAGGCTCTCTTCTCGTTCTCTTGCCTTTTTCTTCTATCTCTTCTCCTTCTTCGTCGTCGTCCTCTCGACGCGCGGATGTCGTTTTGATTTTTTGGTTTCCTTTCGGGCGATCGAAGAGATTGATTATTCGGGATCGCGATTCGATTCGATTCAGCTCGATTCGAGTCGCGGACAAAATTTCCAAGTCCGTGCGCGCGCGCGAGCAATGTACGAGCCGGTGATGCTTCTGGGACACACGGTAGATATCACAGAGGGATATAAAACAGCAAGAAAAATGTATTCCATATTAGCGGATAAATTAGATAAGTGGGACGGACAGGCATACGGATTAAAGAAAAAAAAAACTAAAACTAAAAGAATTGCATAACTTGTATATTAGTGTATAGAACGTAGTAGAAACGATGAAATAGCCACGAAGAAGAATCATTTTCGACGATGTTTTTTACAAACTGGCAGAACAGTGCGAGTAGATTAAAGAGACAAACAAATAATAATAATAATTAACAAAAAAAAAATAAGAAGAGACGAGCAAGTTAACCACACGTCATTGTACCATTTTAAGATGAACGTTGAAAAGAAAGGAAAAACACAAAGTGGAAAGGGACAAAAAAGTAACGAGAGAGAGAGCATGTCGGAAAACAAGAGGAAAAATCGAAAACAGTTTATAAAATTGATGCACCACGCAGAGAAACAAAAACCCGCCACCCCGAAAGAAAAGGAAAACAATTGTAATAAATAATAAGTAACGTCGTTTTACCCAATCGCCAAGCCCCCCCCCCCCCTCCCCGCCGCGCCACCCACCGTTCAAAAACAGACAGAAGAGCGTAGATTTTTTTAAAATAGCCACAGACCTCTCGAGGAGACGCTCGTTTTTCGAGAGGGTAAAAACACCAAAAAAATCGCGAGCGGAGAAACACTTTTTACGAGCACGCGCGCCCGCAGAAGCAAATCGGGGACAAAAAAAAAATGGTCGAGCTAAAAAAACGATAACGATTGTTGTTGATTTCGTGCTTTCCCCGACGCCTCCCGGAACGTTCTCGTTTCATTTCGTTGCGATCGCGTTTTCCACCCCGCCCACGCGCCGCCCCCGGCTCATTTTTCATTTTCGTTCGCCGGTCTGATTCGGAAGAGAGACATTCGAGAAAACACGGAAGCAAAAGACGCGAAAGATTGAAAGAAAAAAAAAGAATAGGAAAAAGGATGATATGTACACGCAACAGTTTTCTTTTCGACTCGTGGTGGTAGGCAGTTCACAAAGATTGCCCAGGTCCAAAGAGTTTTCCGTTTCTCCGGCTTCTACGTTTGTACGTTCTGTCGACGCCGACACGCGAGATGCGTTTTTTCCGCCAATTATATATGTATTGTAAAACTATTCCCAGGAACGATAACGCGTCGTTACGGTATTATTATATATACTAATTAGCGTCTTTGTCGATTGTATTTCATATTTTCTAGAACGTTAATAAAATGGATTTTTGAATCTGAGTATATAATGTGAAATGGAGGATGTCGTGATAACTTATTACAATAAAACATCAAATTCGAATAGAAATGATAACACACGTTACATGCACCGACAGATAATAGGCAACAAGTGAGAACAGTTTCAGGAAAATACGATTACAGCGTACACAGAAAATGTCGATAGAACTCTCTCCACCGTTTCCTCTCTCTTCGTGCAAGCTTTCGCTCTTTGGATCCATGCGCATTCTCGCTTCGCGATACCATTTTCTTATTCTTACAATTTCTCATCCCCCTTATCGTTGTTGGTGCTTCCCCCGTAACATTCACACCATCCTTCTGCTTTTCTTTCGTTACTCGCGCCTTCTAAATCCTCGCGTACCTTTCCACGAACGATTAGCCCCGGAATGGCACCCTTTCGAATCTAACATTCCTGTTCAACGTTTCAATTCTGTAGCTTCAATCCTTTTAACAGAATCGACATTTTTCGTTACCGGAGTTGAAGAGGGAAAGACGTTTCAACCCAAAACCCTTTGATTTTCCGCGAAGACCTGTAGTCAAATAAATGAATGAATGACTCTATGCGAACATTTGCAGAATTTTTACGATCTCATCGTAACGTTTCGTAGCCGTGAGAAAATCGGGTGCCATCGCCGGGTGAAAATTACAACGTGGTGGCAGTCATTGTTCTTTACGAAAATCGCGAAACCATAGGAGTCTCAATGCTAAATCAGACTACAGGGTGATCCAAAGCGACAGCTGTTGCTTCTGCACGTATACACGATTTAATTCGGATTATAGTTATCTTTTTGGGAAGCATTTAGGTCGTCGATAGGAAAGTCTCATACAGACTGCTACAACAGTTAACAAACAATTTGTTCGACATTTTTTAGTTTACGAATTATATCAAATTATAATATAATTATATTATATATATTTATATATAATATTATATATAATAATATATATATAATAATATAATTACGTCGAATTATTATCTTCTTGAATCGCCCTGTATATGGTAGTCGTTTCTGCAGCAGAGCTACCGCGTATGTTTCATATTTTTAAGCGATAATACCTGTAAACTTTCTGTGTCCCTGTGTTTTGTCTTTTTTATGCATAAACGAAATACCTACCTTAGATCTTATTTATTGTCTCCTTCAACATCCGTTCCGAACAGTTTCAGTGTAGGGCGATCTACGGTTCTTTCGTTGCATCGGTCGCTGGAATCGGTGAACGTATTATCGGACAATCCAAGGGATCGGGTTCGAGGAGAGATCGACGAAAGTCCGGGACGTAGGTTGCTGTACCCCGGAAAGGTTCTCTCGATTCATTAGTTGTTAGTTCGTAGGCAGATCGAAAAACATTCGGATTACACGACATCTCCGCATACTTGAACAGAAATTAATATCGAACTAACGGTATTCTAAATATAATGTGTATATGATGGTTGTACAAATGTAACATTTCTTTCCATTACATACGATGTTAAACGATGACGAGAAAGCAGCGATTCGATGCCAGGAAATCGTGGTAAAATTGTTTTATGGAGAAAAAAAAAAAGAAAAGAAAGAAACGAAATCAGAACGCCGTGTGTGCGTGTCGATCGACGCGTGGCTCGGACGCGCGGACGACATCTGCATCGATCCAGTGAATTCACTTACGAGCGATTTACCATTAAACTGCTATTTTACTTTTAATTATTATAAAGTACCGTTCCTGTAATAACAATTATGATATAAAACCATACATTGAATGGCATGTCACGCTGTGGTTTTTCTGACCCATTCCTGATCTTTCACTCGTCAAGGAAATCAATTTATCCGTCGGTGTCGTTAAAGATAAAGTTTATTGTTGTTCTCTATAATTCATTCGCCGGCTAAAAACTGTATATACGACATGAACGAAAAGATCAGAGGTAAATTAAAGACAGCCGTAGCGGCATGTACTGTCGGCTACGACTCGTGGGACAACTTTACATTAGCAAAAAATTGTACAACCGACGACGTTTAACGCGTCGATGTGGTCATCGATGTTCTTAGATTACAGGACTCCAGTTTTTATTCGCTTTCTTCCTTGGAACGTTCTCTTTCAGAACGTCGTGATTTCTTCTTACGTCGACTCGGACTTCTGGACCGAGATTTATGCCTTCGAGACCGGGATCGCGATCGATGTCGATGCCTAAAACAAGCGATACAAGAGGATAAATAGTCTATTCGAGCTGATCGCTCTAATTCTTAATTAGAAGAACTGCGCCGCTTTATTACCGCTCTTTGTGACGATACTGGGATCGAGACCTGTCGCGATCTCTCTCTTCGTCTCGCGACATCGAGTCCCTTTCTCTGTCTCGTTCCCGGATCATGGAATCCTTTTCCCTTTCGCGGTCCCGCTCTCTGTCCTTGTCCCGTTCTCTGTCCCTTCCCATGGAATCTAGTTCTCTATCGCGATCTCTTTCTCTCTCTCGATCCCTCTCGCGATCTCTTGAATCCCTGGGAGGTATCAAAGGCGGAATATTCGTAGGTGGTACCATGGTAGGTATAGTCTTAGGACCGGTATCCTTATCATCCTCCCCCTCTGTCATTGGAATGGCTAAATTCGTGGGCTGCCATGTCTGGAATATTGAAAATAAACGTTCAGTTCATCTTAGAACAGTATTAAGCGTTAACAACAACCTTGACAACGACGTTAAGTTCTACGTACAGGATCAGTGCCCCATTGGTTATCCTGTGTAGGCTCGTAGCTCTGATAATAGGGATCCGTTTCTGGCATGTAGAAGGGAGCGAGTTCTCCAGGATATCCGGGAGGAGGCATGTCGAACGCAGGTGGCATACCGGCTCCTGGAGGAGGCACACTCATGTCTGGAAAACCTGGTTTCCTGGAGTACTCTCTCCTATCTGCAGTCATAACTTGTATCACGTTTCCTTTTGGCGGAGATTTGTCCAGATTCCTTCTCGAGGCCAGACCTGAACTACCAATTACATCTATCGTTCCTGCCATCTTCCTTCCCGGAGGTGGTCCTGCCCTCTTAGGCCCCATTATACCCGAGTATTTACTGTTGTCATTGGTGATTGCCACCTGAGGTACCCTCATGCTACCGGCATTTCCACCACCACCTCCTCCCGCGTTCAATATTAAACCTACACCCGATTCACTCCTCATTCTCTTCTGTCTTTCACAATATGCCCTCCACGTTTCCTCGTTGAAACCGTAATTAAAATAATCCGTAATATCAGCTCCAGGCTGTCTCCAAGGTTTATCTTCTAATTGATCTAAGTTGAATTCATGAGCGGGCATGCCATTGATGACACCTATTGTCTCGAATTCGTCTATACTGAACTTTCCGGGCTGCTTGTTTAATTTGTCTGGTACTCCAGACGCGTTCGTGAGCAATCCTCCCCTTTTAATGTTAAGGCTACCATAAGCAGGGGTGGATTTGATGTCACCAATGACAACATGGACATCGTCGTCAGAATCTGAGTCACTGGCTGCTTCGCCATCCTCTTGACTGGATGGTTCTCTGACACCATTTTTGGTTACGTCTGCGTTATTATCGTTTTGTGTATTGTCAGCTGAAGGAGATTCTTCTTCTTGTGGTTCTGTTTCTTCAGGTGCCTGCAGAGACAACCATATTAATATTTAATCGTTTTTTGTCAAAGCATTGGAACTGTTCCTCGTTTTGTAAAAGTGAAATATTCCTCAATTATCTCGACCTGTTTAGTTTACATATACAGGAGGTTATGTTACTCCACAAATGACGCGTATCAGATACCATGAGAAAAGTATATTTTTTGTATAAAAGACATAACGTCCCTAACTTGTGTAAGGGTGACTGAGGTGTTTCGGTATGATAACTGTTTCCGATTTAATTCAGCGTACTTGAATCCGACAACAACTTGGCATATAGGTTAGGAAATACGTACCTCTGACGCTGGATCAGGAGTAGGTTCGGCCTTTTGATCCTCCAAATTTTCAGACTTTTCCTCGGTTGCAACGGGTGCTGAATCATTTTCCTGACTCTCCGGTGGCACGGATACCGGTGTGTATTCCTTTCCATCTGTAGAGTCCCCGTACAACCATTGATCCTCATTCTCGTCCGCCATTTCTCCTGGTCTCCCGCATGACAACTACAAACTACAATGCATATGCAGCTTCTCACGGAGAAAACACCTCCAAAAAGCGTCGTTCACTCTAGCGGCAAAACGCTCAAACTCGTTGCCGATTATCGACGTATCAGAATAACTCGTCGACTATTGGTGGCGCACCCGTAGCAAAATGCTGAAGCTGTTAAGGGGCTAGGGTAGTCACGTGACTCTACGGATTCAGGTCGGGTCGGTATCTGACTATTTGATATAGTGACAGATTTCGTTACAGAAATGGTGTTACCCAAAGATGTGTAGCTGTTTGATAAATACGAGATGGAAACACTGGCATATTCTATTAAGAATGGAAAAGGAACTCAATTCAAATCAAAATATTCTGCGGATCGAGAAATGCAGTGACATTTTCTTATAACTTTTAAACCATCGGAGGTATTGCAATGAAATTTTCACTGAAAATATTTAAAAAATAATCATTCTTAACTTCAGATAATTAAATATTTTTATTTTATTTTATCCATTTTTGTTAACAAACTGAAGGAAAATTAGAGAGAATTTATTGTACAATCGAATAGCTCGGATTGTTTCGAACGATACGAACGATTCCAGTACAGTAATTTCTCTCATAGATGTCTTTAGTCGGAATAGGAACATGCGGATATGAGACTAGTAAGTTATGATTCCTCGAGCCCCGCGGCTCGCCTTTATAGTTGCCGACACTCGGGTCGAACGAAACTATCTGGAAAGGCAGCGGCCGGTGTACATTACTATAAATACATTGTAATGCTGGCATAAAAACGACGATTTAACTTTTTTATTTCTAATTTTTTATACATGAAATTTTGTTTAATATGTTGTGATCAGATTCTTCCAATTAAAATGAGACCAAACACGACAGACCATATTTATTCATTATACTTAGCAAGTAACTAATTTTATTTTATTACACAAATCGTAATTATAACAATTTAGTGGAGGAATGGCAAGTGAATCAAAATGTTTTGTCTTTGGTTATAGTGTTTATCCTGTTTGTTCTGGTCTATGAGTGTGCGCGGGCGCGGCTAGCGTAGTGTCGGAACTGTACAGAGTTTTGGAACTGTCCGGACCGACTGGAGTGACTGACTCGACTTTAGTGCCTGAACCAACTGCCCTCGCGGAGTAGGCGCAGGGGGATCTCCTTGCAGGTTGAAAGGTTGGCTGGATACGGCTTGCCGGGTCCAGTTGGCCAATTCCTGTAAGGGCCTTTGGAGCGTAGCGACTCCACGCACTCGAAGCGCTGATTCACCAGTGCCAAAAGTGTAGGCTTTCAAACTGGTAGTAGCTAACGCTACGAAAGATCCAACCAGTGATCTTGACTGGCACCGCGGGGACCGGGAGCCCCTGAGGAGTGCCTCAGCCCGGTCATGGGTAGGACCATCGCGGGGGCAGTGGTAAAGCCAAATGCTGGTCAGAGACTCCTTTTTCCAGGGTCTCAGCGGGTGAGCTGCGCATCGTTCAGCTCGGGCACCGTCCTGCAGAGACGGTAGAGCGTGGAAAGTCGCTCGGCACCACCGGTTGTCTGCTCTTTAGGCCCTGCAGCCTGGGAGTGTACCGGTAGTCTCCGCATGAGCGGGAACGCGCTGATTGGGCGTATCCCAATCCCACGCCCATGGGGGCCATGTGGATAAACCTTTGGGTTAGTGCCGCACGTAAAATCAACAGAGACGAAATGCCCTTGCGGAGTTGCCTTTTGTTTTTCTTATACTGTTTGCGAGGACAGTCATAAGAAGGGAAAAGATGAAATTCTCTTGGAAGGGGAAAGAAGGAAAGGTCTGTGCGAGTCGAGGTGTGCGAAGGTTCGGATAATTGTTTTATTGGCGGTGCGTGTTCTTGAGGATTAGCGAAGGACGGGAGTTCTGATGCACATTTGGTGTTTATTAGAGCTGTCGTAAAGGAAAAGTTTATTTATGTCCGTATCGTTTTTAGGACGTAACAACGACAATATTCATAAAGCAATTAAACAATTAGCAACGTAAAAGTCAATTTGCGTCAATGACTATATACAGCAAAATTCCGCGAAAACCTGAGACAATATTAAATAAATAAATGTAATTAAAATTATGTCGTGTTTGATTTTATTTTAATCAGAAATATTTGTTCAAACTATATCGTGTTTGGTCTCATTTTAATCAGAAAACTATCAGCAACATGTTAAAAAGAATCAATTCTAAAATGTTAAAATTAAAAGAAGTTGTGTCATTGTATTATGAGTTGTCGCGTGCCGCACCACACGCTCGACCGACTCCGTCGAACCTTAGCATCCGCGTAGCGAGAAAATCGATAAATTACAGGGCCGTGGCAATATCACAGCGCGAACCTGAGAATACTGAAGTAGCGCGAGTCCGGAAGAAATTACTGTACATGTGTTATGTGTATTTATACACACGCATAAAAAAGGTATTATTTGTACTGCTAAAATATTCGTAAAGCTGTGCGCAATTACCCTGGACAGTAATTAAAAATATCTAAAATAAAGCAGTAATATATTTCTCTAACGAACATATCCCTTACGTCCTTTAACATGATTATTATTTATTAAATTAGCTTTGCGAATCATTCGTTGAACTGTGTTCGGACACGGAATTATTTAAATTAAAATATCATTTACGTACTTTGTTCATTTTCACTGTACACCTTGCTTAAAAATTTCATATGTTACACACAAGGTGTCATGCACACTAGAAAATTAAAACGGCCGTCACGGTTAAATTACTTACTATTTCGGGTCCGAAAAATTAGTAAATATTCTTCAGACGTTCTAAAGTAAAGGTGAACAGCGTTTTTCTTAAAAATATCACTGTTACGTAGTAAAAAGAAAAACCGGAAAATTCTCGCTTCGTGATTTGTTCAATACTTCGAACGCGGCTCGAGTCCGTCCCGACCATCTGTCGAAGCCTCGTGCTGCGGGCTCTCGAACTTCGCGCCGTCACCTCTCATTGGTCAGTGTTTTCCGTTAATAACTCGTAAACAAAGCCGCAGATTGCATTTTCGCAAAGGAAAAAGTTTCTTCAAATGACCTCAGCTACCCCTCATTTTCGGCTGTTAAAATAATTGTGGAACACCCTGTATAGTCTCGTATATGCGGGACCCTGTCAGTCCCTTCACCCTACCTCGCGTCTTGCCTAGCTGTGCTGCGGAGTCTCGGGGCTAGAGTCGTACTAGGGCCAATTCCAGGCAGCTACTCCCACAGTACAAAACCGCTTCGTTTTAGAGCGAGAGAGTAGCTTATCTGACTGTGGCCCTAGTACGACTCGAGTCTCGAGACTCCGCAGCAGTGTCCGCAGATAACTGTCGACAGTTTTATTCTCGGATAAACACGCGCCTTTATATTCGAGCCGCTCGATCTTCCGAGTCTCGGCTCGGAGTTTGAGCCGAGTAATACCCGACTCGTGTTTTGCCAGTTCTCGAGCAGCATTACTCTACCGACCAACGGCATACAGTAATTTCTCCCTAAAAGTCGCGGGGTCGGAATTGAAAGTGTATTTCAAAGGACTAGAAGACACGATTCTTCGAATCTCATAGCTCGCCTTTATAGTCGCCGACATCTCGTGTGAGAGAAAGATCGAACGAAAATACATGCCTGTGGGGAACGGCAATGGCCTGCATACCGGTGTTACTATATGAATTCAGCGGTCATTGAGATTGGTCTTCTTGGTAACACCAAAAGTGGTCATTTCGTGTTATTGTAGTTTATTAGCAGTATTATTAATCTTTAGTGTCAAGTGTTATCATTAGTGATATTAATGATTAGTGATATATAAATTGTGGCAGTTAATATCGTTATTAGTTCTTTTTAATCGTTTTACCGTTAAATACATGCACATATTTTTAATATCAATATTATGCCACCAAGAAAAATATATACGGTATTAAACATGCAGCAACGTTTGGATGTGTTGAAGGATCTTCGAGAAAAAAGATTGTCGTCTAAACAAGTCGGACAGAAATATGGCGTTAGCATCAGAACAATCCAAGACATTGTTAAGAGGGCTACAAAAATTAATGAGTTTGCAGATAAAAGCAAATACGAACTTAAGCGACGAAGAATAACCGAGCCAGTATACGACGAAGTAGATAAACAATTATTGGCATGGTTCGAGCAAAGAAGAGCACTTGGCGACCGTATAACCGACAATCTCATATTAGAAAAGGCGACGGAATTGAAAGAAAATTTGCCGTCATGTTCGCGATTCAAAGTGAGTCGTGGCTGGTTAACAAAATTTAAGAAACGTCATGGCATAAGCTTAGTAAAGATATACAGGGAGAAAGCTAATGCCGATCAGGATGAGGCAGATGCTTTTGCAGTTAATTTTAAAGAAATAATAGAGGAAGAGAATATAAATTTGGAAAATGTTTACAGCATGGACGAAAGTAGACTTGCATGGAAGGCTCTTCCGACGAAAACACTGGCTGCAGAAGAAGAAAAATATCTTAGTGGACATACGGCGAGGAAAGATACAATTACAATTGGCTTATGTGCAAATGCGTTAGGCACACATAAGATTATGCCTGTTGTAATTTACAAATATAAAAACCCAAGAGCTTTGGAACACGAAGTTTCATTACCTGTAATTTTTAAATCGCAGACAAATGCACGGATGGACGGAACATTATTTTTAGATTGGTTTGAAAACCATTTCAAGCCGTCTGTAAAACAATATCAGGAAGAAAGACAAATATCAGGGAAAGTAATCCTATTGTTAGATAACTGTGAAGCCCATAAAGTTTCGCTACAAGAAGATGAAGATTTTACAATTATGTATTTACCAGCCAATACAACATCTATTCTTCAACCGATGGATCAAGGGATCATGCAGAAAACAAAAAGAGTTTTCCGCCAGAAACTCCTGCAACGTGTTTTAACGTATGATAGAGGAATAAATGAATTTTATGCCGACTACACGATAAAAAACTGCATTGACATTTTATCCCAATCCTGGTCGGGAATTACGCAAAGAGACATTAAAAATGCATCGAATAAAATTATTAATCCCGCTAGTAGTTCCATTCAGTCGAAAACAAGAGAGCTTGAACCCGATTGGCAAGGCATGATAAGTGAGATCACAAGAGAACAATGCACCCCGGCACATGTTACGCAATTTTTATTAAGCTGCGAGGAAGCAGAAAGAATGGACGAAAACATAGAAATAAAAGAGGAAACGGCAGAACTTCAAGAAGAACCGCAAGAAATAATTTACGAAGGGAGTAACAACAAAATTGGGAACAATGAATTACGTGTAATATTTGAGAGATTGACATTTTACAGTGCCAAAGCGCCAGCTTGCATACAATGCATGGTGCAGGGAATAAAAATATTTTTCTTGGGTAAGGAAAATTAAATAAGTAAGTACGTATTTTTATACAATGGTAAAGATTTGCAGTCAATTTGAATATGGATTATTTATAAAGTAATTTTTTTTACATTATTTTTTATTAGGAAACAGAGGAAAACCATCACCGTAGGCCACGATACTAGACGATTTCAAGGATGATACGCAACAAAACAATTTAATTTAGAATATAATTTTGCACTCATCTAATCATGCAATGCAGCTTTTTAATGTACAGTTATTGTTAATATGTATAACAATGTATTTTACTTATATAATCACAGCGATAATAGAATCGAATGAATTACATATTAAGTATTAAGTAAATAAGTGTAATCGAAATTATATATCGTGTTTGATTTTATTTTAATCAGAAATATTTGTTCAAACTATATATCGTGTTTGGTTTCATTTTAATCAGAAAACTATCAGCAATGTGCTTTAAAAAATCAGTTTTAAAACGTTAAAATTAAAAAAAAAAGATATGTCATTGTATTATGAGTTGTCTTCCGGGAATTCGAGTAAAAGGAGCCGCGTCGCGTGACGCACCACACGCTCGACCGACTCCGTATCCTTAGTATCGGTGTAGCGAGAAAATCGATAAATTACAGGGCCGTAGCATTAGCACAGCGATATTCATGGCATAGCAAAATTTTGACGTTTAGGGAGAGATTACTGTATGCCGATAGTCAGTCGCTCTGTTGGAGAAAAAATGAAGCTCCGTTCGATATCCATACAGCGCCAATTAGTGTAGTGATTAAACGCTTAAACTGTTAACCAATTTCGATTGTTGATAATTCGGCGAATCACTCACTTCCATGCCTAGAAAATCTAGAAATCCTAAAAGTAAAAAATATACTTCCCCCTACTACTCCCTTCCTCTCTCTGCTCGTACACTCCCGAGTAACGCTTAGGCACCGGAAGGATTGGAGCAACGAACTTGGAATCTTGGATCTCTGAGAATCCTATCTAAAAAGAGTCATCGGTTCCTCGCGCTAAGATTCTTCAAACTCATTGAAAAATGAATATGTTTAATAATAATTTCAAGCTATATTTAAATATGTTCAATAGTTTCATAATAATTTCATAATAATAATTTCAAAATATGTTCAAATATGTTTAATAGTAATATCATAACGAAAAGAAACTCTATTTTGAAACATATCGCGAAACGTCTTTCTGCACGTGATCTCTAATACAATTAGGCGGGAGAAAGTTATTCAGTATATTAGTACAGTAAATGCACCAGTGTAAGTTTTGTAACATTCGTATTATGATAATTGCGTGCTGTAAAAAGATTAATCTCTCTCTCTTTCGGCAGCTTCGAAATAAAGTTACTAAAACTTGAAATAATCGTAGTAAAACACGACGTGCAGAAAGACCCTACTTAACTATGAAACAGATTACCATCCAAAGGATTGCCGGGCAATCCCTTGGTTACCGTACTGGTCAAAATGTTCTACAATTCCTACGTAATAAGAAAAAAATAGTACTCTAAGTGCTCATTCACTACTTGATGGGAGGAGGGAGCTGTATTAGAGTCCTGGAACAGGAAGAAAAACACGGAGATATTAAAATATGTTCAATATCATTCATGAAATTATTCAGTTCTACAAACTATTCCATGTAATTTTAATATTAATGAAGATTATACTTATATCCTTTCCTCCTTGATGAAGCTCGACCCGTTGCTACTCAATCTCAGCCATTCACGTAATCTCCAGAACTGTTACAATAGCGAGAAATTCGATTAAATTCAATCGCTATTAAACGTGAGAATGTATTATGTGTTACAAGTTACAGATGCGCTTTGTGTGCTGATAAACCGGTGTAAGTCATAAGTGAAGTAGCTACAAGGTTCGTTCTCCGTCGAATCGAGGCATGTGGCCTCCGAATTTCCGTCGATCGTAGGCCCGAATAGCATAACTCCGCTGATATATTTTTTTGAACGACATACATACTTTCTTTGACATTGCCTTTAATATTTTTTAAATGCTTTTTTTGGTTATAATTACAATTTGTGTAATAAAATGAAATAAGTTACTTGCTACGTATAATGAATAAGTATGGTCTAAAGCATGTCGTGTTTGGTCTCATTTTAATTGGAAGAATTTAACCACAATATTGTCATTGTTTTTATTCTAGCATCCTTTTTCTGCCGACTGCCACGAGTTTCGTTATCTCTCTTTCTCTCTCACGAAATGTCGACAACTATAAAAACGAGCCGCGAGGCTCGAAGAATCGCGACTGACAATGAGTGTTCACCGATTACCGTTTTCAATTCCGAGCTCAGTGCTTTCTAGAGAGAATTTACTGTGTGTCCATGCTTGCATGTGTAGGAAAATTACATATGCAGACGCATACACTGCCGATGAGTGAATAGGTATCCTACATAACCACAATCCAAGCTCGCATCTGCCTCAGATTCCACATCGACAGTCCTCCTACTTAGGCGCCACCTTATACGCACCAATTTAACTAATCTTACCACATTTTTCGTTCTATAATATCGACATCGCAAATTNCTCGACCCGTTGCTACTCAATCTCAGCCATTCACGTAATCTCCAGAACTGTTACAATAGCGAGAAATTCGATTAAATTCAATCGCTATTAAACGTGAGAATGTATTATGTGTTACAAGTTACAGATGCGCTTTGTGTGCTGATAAACCGGTGTAAGTCATAAGTGAAGTAGCTACAAGGTTCGTTCTCCGTCGAATCGAGGCATGTGGCCTCCGAATTTCCGTCGATCGTAGGCCCGAATAGCATAACTCCGCTGATATATTTTTTTGAACGACATACATACTTTCTTTGACATTGCCTTTAATATTTTTTAAATGCTTTTTTTGGTTATAATTACAATTTGTGTAATAAAATGAAATAAGTTACTTGCTACGTATAATGAATAAGTATGGTCTAAAGCATGTCGTGTTTGGTCTCATTTTAATTGGAAGAATTTAACCACAATATTGTCATTGTTTTTATTCTAGCATCCTTTTTCTGCCGACTGCCACGAGTTTCGTTATCTCTCTTTCTCTCTCACGAAATGTCGACAACTATAAAAACGAGCCGCGAGGCTCGAAGAATCGCGACTGACAATGAGTGTTCACCGATTACCGTTTTCAATTCCGAGCTCAGTGCTTTCTAGAGAGAATTTACTGTGTGTCCATGCTTGCATGTGTAGGAAAATTACATATGCAGACGCATACACTGCCGATGAGTGAATAGGTATCCTACATAACCACAATCCAAGCTCGCATCTGCCTCAGATTCCACATCGACAGTCCTCCTACTTAGGCGCCACCTTATACGCACCAATTTAACTAATCTTACCACATTTTTCGTTCTATAATATCGACATCGCAAATTCTGACGTTGCAAAACTATGCTGAATCGCTCCCCAAGGTTTTGTCCTTATATTAGAATATATTTCGTTGGAAAATGAGTCATTCGAAAGATGAGATTTATAGCAACGCGCCTCATGATTTCACCCACAAAACTCATCTAATGGCATAAAAATTCTTGGATTCTACGACTTAATTTTTGGCCGACATTTTTACAATTACATTACTAAATATCTGAATAATATCCTTAAATCGTGAGAACGGCACGCTGCTATGAACCTTCATCTTTCGAATGACTCATTTTCCATAAAAAATAGTCTCGTGTAAGGACATAAACTTGGGAAGCGTAAATCTATTATTTTGTCGGTAACTGTGTCCTTTACTTGCATCGCGTAGCTACGGATTCTAGGCAAACAATCTCGTTTTTTAAAATTAGTTCATTACTATTGCATCTGGCCAAATACTTATTGCCAGGAATTGTATCAACGAATAAAATTATTAAAATAATGTATCGAGAATTGTCATGTGATAAATAAATACATTATTGTAAGAAGTATGCGGAAATTTCGATTTTGTATCAATGGTTCGCGCCATTTTGTAGATGGCGCCAAGTGTCTCTTCTTTTTGAATTCTTACATATAAAACGATTAAATATTAATTAAAAGCAGCACAGCCAACAAATGTCACTGCAACATTTTGATTGAAGGAAGTTCGGCACGCAGTAAGCAATTATTAGGAAGAATATTTAGTCGTAATAATATGATATTTCTGTGGCATTATTGTAAAAACTGTATTACATATGTATATATACAATTGCATATCACTGGTCAAGATAGAATTCTTATTTCAACTAGTAACTTTTTGACTGTTGGAGCGAAATGGGCAATGATTGTCGGTATTAACTTGATTCGAGGAACGCCATCTGGTTCGGTGTGTCACCTATCTTCGGTTCTATTCGTCGAACTTCGTTATGAGAGAAATTGTAATGACTAATACCTGTGCGATCTGTCCTGGAAGAACATTTTTCTTTCCATTGTAAATCGTTTCGCTCGCAACGGATCTAGATCACACGGAATTTTGTACATTCACCCGTCTTGTCTGGGTGCTTTTTATATGTATTTTATAAGTCGTACTTATTCAATAGCTGTGATAACGACATAAGTCATCTGCGTCACTGGCTGCGTTCTTCATTATTTGTAGATTTGTTTTGAATCGTGATATGGCTGCGATGAAACAAACGTTTCATTAATTCAGTAAGTTCGAGGAGTGTCTTTGTCATAATTCACATTGTAAAGCAGGAGAACACTGTAAACATCCGAGCATTGCTATCAGAAAACGTTGATAACAACGACGGTGTTACGATCTGTCGAGATGTAGAATGTTATGATGTTTTTTGTAACAATATGTACGGTTGAATTACATTTTCTGGACAGGTGAAAACATTTGTTAAGGCTATTTTTAGATTCTGTACCGTGCAAGCATATGTTCTGAATTCTTGAGGAATAAATGAATTACTCCTAAAAACGCTCGCCGTGATTCTTTATTTATTTATTGAACAGTTTCAGTTGTCAAATTCAGTCGAATTCAATTCTTTCGTTTAGAATTTATACTTTACTCCTATATGACCTTTATGTTTGGCCATCGAAAAATTAAATATGCCTGTGTGGGTATATGTGGTAGGTGAATTAGGTGATAATTAACGAACATACTAAAAAGTGTCAGTTATGATATGTGCCTACTTTTAGGAATGGTAGCTGCTGGAGCTACAGTTTTAATGGCAGCCAGCGGAGAGAGCTCTTCGAATGGAACAGAGAATAATAGTACACAATATGAGAATCAAAATGTTTGTTCCCACAATGAAACACAGAACAAACAAAGTGCAGAGTGTGCAGTTAAAAAGAGTATGACACCTTGTGCTATGAATAGTAAGTATTCTTAAGAATTATCAATTAATTTCTATACATATAATTATACAACTATAATGTTATGACTCATTTGAAACAATTGCTAAACAATATATAGATTTTTAGAGTATGTGCAACGTACTTCAATTTGATACAAATATTTCTGAATGCCTTTGTAACAGAGAATAAGACTCGTACCTCCATGTTGGAAAAAAACAGTCGTTTAATTTCAAGATCAGAGAGTAAAGAGAGTGGTAAGATTCTTTCATTGCATAAAACAACACCAATTCGTGAGACTAAAGCTTCCAGATTGAGAGCTGCCTCCATTATATCCCCTAATGGTAGGTCATATTAAAAATAAATCTAAATTTCAACATGGTACTGTCATCGTCATGATATTTATTTTATTCATACAGGTGGAACATTGATTTCAAGGAGATTAGGTATGTCTGAAACATCTGCTCCTTTAGGTCTCCAACCTAGGACCAGTACATCTATGAAGGATGTAAGCATTTATTTATAATTTCACAATAGTGTGTACATTAATAGGAACAAACTAATGTCTGACAATGTATTCAGGAAAATTCAATATTAGGTAACAGTAGCGCTATAAATCCTGTAAGAAAAAGGGACAAGAGCTACAAGAGAAAATCGTATTTAAATCAGTCGCATAGCATGGAAACAACAACAACAGGAGATCGTTTAACTCAGTGTATGTAATCTAATAATACAATTGTTGATTATTAACACTTTCGCGTCCGAGCCAATAGACTAAGGACGCCGATAGTTCCTAATAATCTGACGGAAAAATACGTCATTCGTAACAGTCGATAGTTTCCATCTAGTGAGTCATTTCATGCGAAAGTGTTAATCAGTACATAAGTATTGTCTTACTTCTGTCTTTGTGAATCGCATAAAGATGCAGTCTAATGATTAATATGCATATCAAATAATTAACTGGCTTAATTATTTTTAGCTGACTGTAATGATAGACGAACCAGAAGACAATCAACTAAGCAAAATTACATATCCGATACAATATCTACTTCGAATTCTAGTAATCAACGTCAGCTATCGACTAATTTAAGTAAAAAGCTGGTTGAGTTGAAAACGGCTTATCCGAAAGTTAGTACTCAATATGTTACAAATCATCCAAAAACCTCTACAACGCCTTCTGTTAATCCTCTTGCAAGCACTAAATATTCAAATATACAACGAACTAGGTAATTTTATTTGTTCACCATTTGAGAACATTTATTTGTATGTATCTGTGATTTATGTCCTGCATACTGTCTCTGTTACTCTGTTTTATTTTCTCTATGTTCTTTTATCGTTCTGTTGCCAGAGAGAAGGGATTAATATCGAATAAAATTTTACAGTAGCGGCGGCCATAGTGATTCAGAGGTTTCACGAAAGGTCGATGCGTTAACAGCGTTGACGAAGTCTACGATAGAACGCGTCGAGAGACTCACGTCACAAGCAAACTTGTCTTCAAATTATGGACCACAATTGGAAAATCAATCTAGCACATCGTCGCAGGCGAACTCCAGTAGTAATACAGAAAGTAATACGAACAACGTACACATCTCGCAATCATCGCCAAGGAAATGTTCTATTTTAAAGAAATCGAATGACGAGCACACCCAGGATGGACCCATCAATCACCCGCATACACCGGTTTCGATTTTGAAACATAAGATGTTCGACAGCGAGGGGATTCAAGCTTTATCAAGCCTCACTCACGCAGTATTGCCACCGGTAACGTTCTCGCCGTCTGTGGTAGAGCCTACTCACAAAAGGCACGGTATCTTGAAGAAGCGCAGTAGTTTGGATGAAAGTGAAATTCTTCGGCGCCGTAGTTGTTCACCGGACATCTCTTTCACCGATAATCCTTACTCCGAGTTCAGGCCGATTCTGAAGAATCAGAGGCGATCGTCCTTGGACGAGATCATCAAGAGAGACCAGAGCCTTGATTCTCAGCCTACCTCCATATTAAAAAGGAAATCGTCCCGGGAAGACGACAGAGAGGACCGGCAAGTTGGTTCTTCGGAGCCACAGGGTATACTCAAAAGGAAATCTACAAATAGCCTACGTACAAATAATGTTAATCACCACGTGACCATTACAACGGATGCAACAAGTGCGACCGGTCCGGAAATACTTGATAGCTCCGAGGTGAGGCCGATACTGAAGAAAAAGCACAGTAGAGAGGAATCGTTTGGTAGCGATCCACCGTCTCTAGAGCCACGGCCGATACTGAAAAAGAAGTCAAGTACCGAGTCGGACGAGCATGATGACAAACCGAAAAAGACTATTTTGAAGTGTTCACGAAAGAATTCGCAAGACGATTGCGCTTACGAGACAGAGTTAACGTCGCCGAAGAAACTGTCTATGCTTAGAAACCGTTCAATACAAGGTAGAACGTCCGCTGCCACGGAGAACGATTCTTCTGTGCGACCTATATTGAAACAATCGGGCAGCAAAGACAACGAATCACGAGTCCGTTTGAACTTGCACGACGAAACTGCCGTCTCCGATGAGGCGTGCAACGAACCAGCCGATTTATTTTTACGAAAAAGGGCACAATCCGTGGGCCATGTACAGCCTTCTACTATTCCTAACGAATTCACCGGTGTACTTAATAAACGACGATCGCTCGAGTTAACGTCCATGAGCGACGTGTTACAAGATAAGTTACAAACAAGATTAACGACCAATAGTAACTATTTAAAGACAGACCTTTTCCTGGGTAGCGAGAGTGCCAATGTGTCTGCTATTTTTTCTGACACGTTAAGCAGGTATGTAATACGAGCTTTGCTACAGGGTGTCTCTGCTAAATCGGATCATTTAATGTTTACCTTATTTATTGTTGTGTGAACAAACTTCTCAGGATGTCAAAATCTCGCAAAAATCATCTTGAAAAACAGTATGATTTTGTTCTGAGAAGTTTTCTCATGTAACAATCAATGGGGCAGATATTTAGACGAGATCATGTAACAAAGACGGCCTGTATATTTTCTGAAAAATGTATATTGTGAAATGGTATATAGATTTATGATTTAAAATTATCTATTTACTCTTTCAAATTAAAAAATTTTGCCAATGTTTCGAAAGACGTTCATTTTACTAATGTTTTACTTAGTTATGTTTGACGTGTAATAAGTAGAGACTAATTTATCAAATATTAGAACTGTGACCATCGCATGTTACTAATTTTATAATAATAGTAATATTTACTTGAACAGCTTGCAGTTAGCTGTCTGTATTACCAATTTCTGATATTCTACATTGATATTTGTTTACACATTTACTTGATATAGTAATATGTAAGTTTGGTAAGGCTTTGAATCTGTGCCAAGTTTAATTATAGACCACCTAGCAATTCTGAAAGCTACCAGAAAACAGAGAATCGGAGCGCACATACAACCTGTACACCTATTTAAAAGTTAATTCGGGCTTTGGAGGTAGTGCTTTTGTACTTCTTTTTTTACCTGTGTAAAATCAGTTCTGCATTTTATTCGGCCAAAGATGCGCTTATCTTCTCAACACTCTTTGCTGAATGTATCATCAATTTGATCAATTTTAGGAATACATGTACACACTAAGGTGTCACCTCAAGTGTTACAACACTTCTAAGACAATTAAAATAAAAAATGCTCGAGTCCCTGAAAGTATTACTCATTAAGTATGCTTGTGTGCATAATTTAGATTAGAAACTACAAATTTTTTGTACTGTGGAACTAACATTGGTGATATGCTGTTAAACTTGACAATACATTCTATAAGCTGTAGTGATATTGGGAAGATCGGAGCAAATATTTTAATAAATTATTGTTACGTCTAATTATAGCACTGCAAAAGAAAAGTCTGTGGAGAAGGAGAAACAGTCTGTGTTAGTACTTGAAGCAGAGACAGGGGATCAAGTAACCGTATATGAACCTCCTGTAAATAATAGTGTGGAGAAAAGTGCTACACTCTCTACCAAAATGACTGACAGCAAGGAACGCATGAACAACGAAGTGTTGACTTTGCAGAGGAAGCAAGACGACGTTGATTTTCAAGAGAGCAACGGCGTGCATCGCAGTAACAGTGTTTCTAAGATGGCACAGCATTTCAAAGCGTTGCAAGAGAAAGCAAATTGTAAAGAGAAGGAGAATTTATCTCAGAGGACACCGAGTAAGGGTTCACGTGGGATACAGCGATATAGAGATCGTAAACTTCAGGGGAACGATAGGTTCAGCACCCAACCGGTAACTTTTCAAGAAGTGCAGGAAGCAGTTCTACAGAATCAACGTAACTCGAATATAAAGTCAAGCACGACGGATGCGAACGTCGACGATGAATATGATCCTTCTAAATTAAGTCTGGCGGAACGAGTGCGCCTTTTTAATCAAAAAATTGATCCCGAGACGACCGTAGAGTTTGATAAAATGTCAACGGACCGACATTCTCGAAGACGACCAGCTACTCGCTATAAAACACAACCGGTTACTTCTGAGGAGGTCGAAGTAGCATCTCGAATATCTCCTTTAAATTCTATTCACCAATGTTCACTAGATAACAGTGAGTACTTAGGCTGATGCTAGCGTGTCAATTCTGAAAAAGATGTAAGGTCCAAGTAATAAATTAACTGTTACAGATGTTACTCCAGAGCTCTGTGAACTAATGAGTGTTTCTCAGGTTGATTTACCAAAAAGTACTTTAAAACCGCAGAGCGCGTTTAGAACTAAGAGCCCCGAGCTCGAGGGTTTGAAGTTAATAAAATCTGTACTTAAAAAAGAGTCCGCGGAGCATGAACAGCAGACGCTTGAAAATTCTGATTCCACGCGCATTTCGTTGAAGACTAAACTGGAAGAAAAAACAGTAAGTAGCGAAGCAAACGAGGTAGCCACAGCCGCCTAAATATTTTCATAACGATATAAAGAATACATGACGAAAAATTCTATTCACAGACAAGAAATGAGAGGGAAAGTAATTATGGTACACAGTATAATTGGGACAGTGGCCACAATACGGAAGGTAGGCAATCTGACCCTAAACGAACCGTCGTGCCTTTCCAGAAGAATGGTAATCAGGACGAACTAAATAGAATAAGAATGAAATCCGCGTTAGATGACATAAGTAATGTTCGAACTGACATCTCTGCATCCAAAAAAGATGAGAGAACTTCTCAAACGGCAGACAACGAGGAGATTTCCTCCTCGGGAGATTATAACAGCAACATAAAAAACGAAGGTGTACTTCGTCAATCTATTTTTTCAAAACAAACTAGGTGAGACACCTTTTGCTGACACACCAAGTTGACTAATACATATTTCTTTCGTAAAATACATAGGCAATGACGTCAAATTTTTTTAATCATTCCTATAAGTGCTGATAAGATTAGGTTGAACAGTATGGGTATTGTATACACATATATTGTAATTATCCATTTGTAGGTACGCTTCGTTGTTGAAGAGCGCCAGTCACCACTCGATTAGCAACAAAAAGCCTGAAACTGAAATGTCCAGTGGAACTGTATCAAAACAACATGGCATAGCGTTGCCAGGATTATGTCGCAGTGCGACACAGGCAATCCCATCAGTAGATACCAGCGATGGTCCGAGTATGAGTATCGCAGACCGATTGGCTGCCCTTCAACGAAGTGGCAATACAAATTGGAAACGGCGCATAGCGTCGGAATCAGCTATCTCATTGGTGTGTATTTTCTTTTATTTGTCATCGTTACTGTAAGAAAATCCTTTGTTTTCTAAGACGCTAATCTGTTGTTAATGGCAATGGTTTTGATCAGGATGGATCGGGTTCATCGCCCAAAGAAGAACTGAGTATCAAGCAAGGTGTTTTAGCTGATTGTCTTGGTAAGTTAGAATCTGCCACAGAAGGATGGAAAAAGAGGGTAGCCACGTCCGACGCGATGAAATTCACAGTAGCTGGAAGAATGAAGGTAGAACTACCAGAGAAACTAGAAACTGGTCCACGTTCACCACTCGTCGAAGTTACTATAGATAGGAAAAAGAAGACACCGCGGCCAGAACGATTCAGGGCCAAAAGGGGTAATACTTAATTTATGAACCGTTTCTGTAGATTAAATAGCGACTCAATAGCTAAAGATTTCTGTGTTAAACGTAAATACAAATAAGATACTGAAAGTACACATCTTTTACAGGATACACAAAAGATGCGATGTCTACACCGACCAGTCCAAGTAAGGATTCGTACAGTAAATTGCGGATAAGCTTCTCGGAACCTACAAGCGATGACAGTGGTTAGTGGATGCTTTCTTATCAGTGTAATTAATATTTTTATAATATTTAATACTTTCTGATTGTTGGGTTTACAGGAGAAGAAAATAAATCCGAGAAACATATGTCACCGACTGTATCGATACCCAAGATAGACGATGAAACGTTCACCTCTTTTTATACTGGAATCTCTTTGGATAGATGCGAAGCTGAATCTGTCGACCTAAATGAGAGCGATTTTGATATCATCACATCGCAATCGGAATTGTAAATTCTTTTATTTGCCAATTATTATGGACATTTCAATCTGCGGTTTTCACAGCTTTACATTTTTACAGACTAGTCCAGAGGCGCAATATACGATTGCAACGGCGACGCGTTATATCCAGAAATCCTCTAAGAGCGCTGGCAGCGAGAACTGATCTAAGATCGGAATATACTGAGGTACGAACTGGTATTGCGGAGAAAGTAATGAGGCAATTAAATGTCGAAAAATGTAAGCCATATATCAAAGACTCAATATTTTATTTTGATTCCATTATAATTTTAAGTTATTTTTTAATTTCTTTTACAGTGGCTAAAAATTCATCTTTGGCCATGGAAGCTCTAGCTGGTCTGGCATCCACCGAAGATTTTAGTAATGTTACATTGAGGAACGTTGCAGAGTCGAACGTATCGACGAACAAGTTACAACCATACAAAGATTTAATGTTGATTTTGATCAAAGGAAGACGTCACGTGCAAGTAAAATTAATCGAACCGATTGCAGAGAACATTAACAGCGGTGACAATTTTGTACTAGTGACAAAAACAGAAGTAAACAAAAACGTAATTTGACATTATTAATTAAAAGATGTTGTTACTAATCCATGAATTTTCTTCAGGTATATAATTACATTGGGAAGTACTGCAACGTTATCGAAAAGGTTCGCGGTGCAAAAATTGCCATGACCATTCAGCAGAACAAAGATCTTGGCACTCAGGCGTCCCAAGTGATCACTATTAACGAAGATAAGGTAACGTGTACGAAAAGTCAGCTGCAGAAGTTCTGGAATTATCTTGGCGCCGAGAATGAAAACGTAGATGGTAAGTTATCCTTTGATGCGGATAAATAATTCAATAAATAATCTATTGTATTAATTGTAGTTTTCGATGCTGGTCACCCCGACGAAGATGAGCTTTACGAGACAGCTATGATACATACGAACATGATCTATGAGATCAAAGATGAAGAACTGGTGCCTCTTGAGAAGTATTGGGGTGCTATACCAAAAATTGAAATGCTCGACCCAAACAAGGTTCTAGTATTTGATTTTGGTAGCGAAATGTACATATGGAGCGGGAAGGTGGCATCCGTCGATAAGAAGAAAATTGCAACGAATCTCGCCACAGAAATGTGGAAGGAGGGTTACGATTATACTGAATGCGACGTATGTCCAATTAATGCTGCGTCTATGATCGGTAGACGTACCGTCTCTCAGGTAGAATCTAAATCCGCCGAAAACAGACCTAAATGGTGCTTGCTCGCCAAGTTGACGCAACACGTAGAAACGATACTCTTCAGAGAGAAATTCCTCGATTGGCCACATGCCTCAGGAATTATACGAGTTCGCGGCGAAACGAGCAAAGAACAAGTCGATGGAACTATAATTATAGAACCGTGCAATATTGATAATTTATTAGAGGAAAATACCACGCCCGTTGACTTAGCTCTCGAAGGGAGCCATTTGGGTAGAGGGACTGGTTGGTATGATGACGAGGTAAATATCTTAATTAATGTTTCATAGATCGAAAATATAAGAATCAGAAGATATCGTGTTAATTTATTTTATAGTTGAAAAAACAGTATGTCGTTACTACAACGAGCGTGAAAGTATGGCACATTGATGAATTTTCCCATACCCTTTTGGATGATTCGTCTGTTGGTCAATTTTACTCTGGAGATAGTTATATTGTACATTGGATGTATTCAGTTACTATTACTGGTGAATATTGATAATTACTACATATAATTTTTAAGAAAATTTTAAACATGTTTTTCTTGTTTTATAGGTCGCGGGTTAAGTGGTATGCCTTCGAAGCATTCGGCAAAGGGTCGTGATCGCTCTGTCTACTTCATGTGGCAAGGACAAAGCGCGTCCTTGAACGAACAAGGTGCAGCAGCGCTACTAACTATCCAATTAGATAGCGATCAAGCACCTCAGGTAATTAATGATCGAATTAAGAAAATACACAAATCTGAAATGCACCGTAAATTTACTAATGTTTTTTATAGCTTCGTGTAGTTCAAGGACACGAGCCAGCCGCATTTCTTAATTTATTCTCAGGCGGAATGATTGTACATTCTGGTAAAAAGAATGATAAGAAGGATGAAAGGTGGCGATTGTACATATGTCGAGGTACCTTAGAGTCAGAGGTGTCTTTGATAGAGATTCCTTGTAGCACTCGTCAATTAAGGAGCAGAGGTTCTCTTTTATTACTAGACTCCAAAAACGATAAAATTTATGTGTGGCATGGATCTAATGCGTTACTTCATATTAAAAAGGTATACTTCTGGGACTATTCGTGCGTTTTTATTTTATAGAACTAGGGTACTATTACATGTAATCACTATTCGTAGAATGCGATCAGTGTGGCAAAAAAAATACAAGAAAATCGACCTCAGGAAACCCACTTCTCGTCCGAAGGTGATATAGAAATTATAGAAATTAATGAAGGAATTGAACCGGAGGAATTCTTTAATGGTGAGCAGGTGTCTATAAACGATATACTTTTTGCGAACGTTTTAACGAGACATTCTGTTTACAGCATTAGGAGGAATGAATAAATCATTGTACGTATCGTTGGAGAAAGATCAATTGCAGGAACATACTCCAAGACTGTTCCATTTATCAAGTATTTCTAAAGAATTTAAACCTGCAGAGATACTATGTCCTCATCGCGCTTCTTTGACAACGCCGTTCCCTTTTCTACAAGAGGATTTGTATCAAGTAAATCAACCAGGTAAACTGATACCTCTAAATTGCTGAATTTTGATCAAGCACTATATGGATACTATTGTTGTAGCACTATTTTTATTGGATAACATAAATGAATTGTGGATATGGCAAGGCTGGTGGCCTGACACTGGAGCAGAAGATCAAACTGGAAGTAAAGCAGTCAGATGGCAGGCAGAAAGACGAGCTGCCATGACAACGGCTATGCAATATTGGCAAAACTTGCATCCAGAAACTACGAAGTATCCAATTTATCTAGTCTGGGCTGGCCTTGAACCATTGCGGTTTATCAATTTATTCCCTACGTGGACATATCGGGATGATATCGCAGAAATAAACATAGAGGTATATTTCTAATTTGACTGACCAGTAGTAATTATATGTTTCAAGTCATTTCATTTGCAGAGAGAAATCATATTTTTAAACTTTAAATTTTGTTAGACTTTATACGATAGGATTTTACAACTAAAATAAATGTTTTAGGATGGTCGCAATCCCGGAGAAGTATTGTCAGTGGAAAACGAGTTAGCTCGACTAACTAAAAGCACTTATCCCCCCGCTCAATTATTGCAACGACCCTTACCAGAAGGAGTGGATCCTACACACCTGGAATTGTATTTATCTCAACAACACTTTGAAGTTAGTTTCATCAATTAAGTTTGTTTCTAAATGAAAAAATTTATTATTAAACACGTTAGTTTTACTTACAAATGTTACGCAATTGATCCGTTTTTTCTTACAGGAGCTACTAGGAATGAGCAAAGAAGAATTTCAAGATCTTCCAGTTTGGAAACAAGTGAATCTCAAAAAAGAAATCGGGCTTTTCTGATGAAACGCCCCTACTGCCGATCCTACGAGTAATAGCTGCCCCTGTAAAGCGTTTAATAAAGTTTTTGTTAATTGTTTTACGATGTTTATAACATTAAAATTTTTTAACTTCTCAATATATATATATATATGAATTCGCGTTTAAAAAAATACGTCTAAAGTTGCCTATCAACCGAAGGAGAACTAATATTATAATGCAGTTGAAGATGTTTACTATTGTCTCAAATATAATATATACTATACTTATACATACGTATATATATACATATATATATATATAAATATAGATAGGTGATTATATATTTTTAATACATATTAAACATAAATTGGCTTGTGAATATTTCCTTTATATTTGTATGGGCTTTATATTCATTGATAATACAATATGTTTTAGAATGGCTTATTCTTACATGTGTAACATTTGTACAAGAGCGACTGTATTCTTTACAACATACTCTGTGTTTTTGAACAGTATTCAATGAAATTTCTCAATGTTGCCTTGAGTTTTATTTCATGAATCCTTTTATATACCCTCAAATTTTCTTTCAAATCGACTTCTTCTCTTGTACTATCTCCAAAAACAAACAAACGTGATTTTAAAATAATTTTATCTTACGCTGTTTCGGTATATATAATTCGTAATGATATCGCAGAGCT